AAGGTTTAAATGTGACTTTCTCACACAAAGTTTCATGAGCACTACTGTGCTGTGCTATCCCAGATTAAGTCCATTTAAACAACTTTGTATTTGAGTACTTCATTGACTCCTTCATATTTATTGTAGGGTTGCATCTGTTTTCATCAGGAGGACTATTTTAGCAGGATTACTGATGTGATAAAGTGGGCAGTTGGTCATAAGACCATTGTTTTATACCACAAAAAAACATGGATAAAACAACAGCAATTACACTTTGTGTTAAAGGCTTTACTAACAGTGAGCACTTGCAGGTCTGTCTCTGTAAGGACTGAAGAAGTTGGGGTTTTAAGTACTCTCAGTACTACTAAAAGGAAGGAAATAACAGAATAAAAATCCTAGCAGAAAAAAAACCCCAAAACTTAGCCAGCAACCCAGGAGCAACATCTCATTCCAGTAGTTATCCAGAAATCTGATTTCCTTTGCTTTGTGTCAGGCTCTTAGCATTATTGTTGCAGTTAAGGGAACTTTATGGGAATGATTAAAATAAAACTTCTTGGAGGAGAGGTGCCACAAGAGACTGCAGCATCACTCGGGAAGTCATTTATCTACTGCGAAAACACAGGTCTCTTGCTTTATTAAACATCTCTGTACAACTCCCCTTGTTGTCTGCAGCCAGATATTCACCTGGCACAGTTCCATTGGAATCAATGGACCCATATTGACTTACACAAGCTGAAAATTTGAACCTCTGAGTTTATTACAACATCACTAAAAGGGCTGATTAATTGTAGGATGGCATCACAATATGATAATAACGCTCAGAAACCTCTCCAGAGTGGAATAGAAATTTATTATGTCTTTCTGCAGAGCATTTGTTTTATGCAATCTACCTCTTTTTCAGTTGTGGGGGAGTTTTTTGTTTTATTTTTGAAATACAGATGGTAATCGTGTTATCATCTCTGGTTTACGCCGCAATAAACATCATGACATGGTTGTAGTATATATTTCCTGAAATCCTGACTGTCACTGGGTCTCAGGCACACAGTGATCCTCCTGAAAAAGAGTATACATTCTCCATTTGGCAATATCCTGCAGAAGACATGGCCTTTCTGTCCTTCAGCTCAATCAGTCCCCACCAAGGGGCTTGCTGCCTGGGCTGCTGGGCAGCCCTGATACAACACAACTGGGACCAAAGCTAAACTGAGATCAAGCTTCTGGGAAAAAAGCTGTGCAGAAGAGACATCAAAATCTCTCTCAAGGCCTCCCCCACCTTTACTCATACATCTAAGCTGTAGCTGTTTCCTAGGTTCAGGCCTGAGCCATGTTGGAGGTGTGCCTGTGCCTGGCCAACATCCTGACCTCCTGATTTGACCTCAGACTTCTCTGGACTGTTAGAGTCCCTGGTTGCCATCACCAGACCTGCCCTGTTCTCCCTGCTTAGGTACAGTGAGACTGATCCTTTCTTATGAGAACACTGTCCTACCACCTTGCCATTACCCCAGCTGCTGCTTGCCTTCCCTGGAGATTAGCCTGCCCTTGTTGCTTCCTGAGAAGATGAACCCTTAAATACTGCACAGAGACTGCTACTGCAGCAGGCATAAATAAAAGAGACATGCTGTTGCTTTTCCAAAAGATAAAAAAATGTCCCTTATAGGATCATTCTTATTTACTATTATATTTAGTAGGAATAGTAAAAATTGTGCCTCTATTTTTGTTTGTTTTGCTATGCATAAATTTTCTGTTATTTAAGAGTTCATAATCTCAGAAGCCAAATGGCAGAGAGAAAATTTCATCCAAAGCACCATGGTCCAAGCAAATAATTTCTCTGCTTTTGCTTAATTTTAATAATGTGAGTAGAGGCGTGTTTTAGATAGTCTGTACAGTAGATATGTCAACTGTCTGCATAAGTGTGAGACACACTCAAGGGTTTACCCCAGCTTGTTGTTGTCCTGAGGAGTCCCTGTAGCTCCTGCAGCAGTGACACAGTGCCCCAGTAGCCTTTCCCCACCACGTGTGAAGATGCAGAGAGCAAAGGAGACCAGATCCTGTGCTACAGGTAAGGTTGGGCCTCTTCATGAAGCCTCCCACACAGAAGTCACAAAAGAAGAATTGTTTAGCCCCCTGCAGCTTCATGCCATCACTCCTGTCCTGTCACAAACTCAGCAAGGGGAAATGAGACGAGCTGGTGCAGCAGGGCAGGGATACATCCCACACAGGATCCGCCTTGCTGAGCCTCATTGGCTAGGTTAGAGGAAAAGCAGAGGTCTGAATCAAACCATCATTGACTGGCTCATCTCCTAATTCTCTGTTTCATGGCAGATCTGGGTCAGGAGAGGTAAAATGAAAAAACCCCAGAGGTAATAAACTTAATGCATGAGGCTCCAGCTGTGGCTGTATAGTTTAATTCTGAAAGAAAAAAAGCAGAACAGTCCTTACTTATAGGACTGTAAGTAGCCAATAACAATGTAAGGTCAAAATATTTTTGAGACAACTCTTAGTAGAACTAAACTGTGCAAAGGGCAAGTTCTCTTTTCACAGAGGAGTTTTACAGTGCTGCACACTCAGCAGCAGCACTAAATGTTAATAGTATGGAGAAATTAGGTACAAGTATGATATTTTGGTGTAAGACTCCTCAGCATGAGTGACTTTCTGAAATGGCAGTGGGCATGACACATATTCATCCTAATGCTGCTGCTGACATGCTGCATGAAATGGTGCTTTGAAGTGTTTTGGGGAGCCAGGATGGCAGTACTGTTTCCATCAGAAGCACCCAGGTCCCACAGCAGGCCAGACCTAGAGCACTGCAGTTCAGCAGCTCATTAAGCATTTCAATCATGTCTTGCAGTTCTCTGAATTGTGGTCTTTCCAGTACATCAATTTTTTTCTCTAATTGTATTGATTTTAGCAAATTGCAGTGTCCTTCTGTTGATTTTCAACTATGTATAGCAAAAACTTGCAATGTGAGAGAAAAAACAAACTCATTGTGCTCTAGCAAGTTATTCTATACCATTAGACCTTTCATGGAGCAAAACATGAGAGACATCAGAGCTAAGAATAAATGAAAATATTGCAGTTACTACAAAAATAAACAGAAGCTAAGTTTTTTAATTAATATAGACCTTACATTCATCACCCAGAAGAAAAAAGACCAGTCAATTGTCTGGAGCACCAGCTCTGTAATTACACACCCATTTATCTTCAGTGTGTGGAGGATGTAATTGCCTGTGCCCAGCTCTATCTTTGGGTCATCACAATGGACCAGCCATATAGTGTGCCAGCACCTGCCATCTGCAGGCTGTCCTCCCACACCAGAGACCTCAATTCTAGCCCACACTCCTGACTAAATCATGTTTTTATAAGGCAGACAACTCCTAAAATCTGTTCAATTAATTAAGGGCTGCCATACAACCTCTCTAAAACCAGCAACACAACCCCTATCTTCTTGCTTCCCCATGATGACAAGATATTATTCCCCTCTATATTTTCATTTTACAAGACAGCTCAGTAATTGTACTGCTGGATCATGCTTCCACTTCTACATTTGTGGAAGTGCTCTGGAGTCAGTGCATCTAGACAATACAGTTCCAGTCATCTCATTCAGGGTAGGAAGAAAAAGTACTTTGGTGCTCAGGAACTATGTATGTGTTCCTGTTTCTTTGACCTTTTTACTCATTTTAGTGAATGATTTGCTAATAAAAATATGTCAGCACATTGGGGAGCCAATAACCAAGACTGGAGTGAGTGTTTCAACAAGCCAGACAGCACCAAGAGCATTTTAAAGAACAGTGGAACCTGGGTCATTCATTCAAGAATTTATATGGTACATAGAGCCACCTGCTGCATTTCTGGATGTAGGGCCCATGTGGTAGGAGATAACTGGCTCATCCCTGCAGGTAAATACCTTATCTTTAGAGGAGGGTGTAGCACAAATATGCATCTTTCTGCAGTGTTCCCTTCTGGTTAGCTCTGAGATACTTCTTCACTGCTTTTGGTTTAGGCTTTTTTAGAGTAAATCAGTCCTTTATTGGATTTAGTTCATATATTTTACAGATAGTTTAGAATTTTTTTTACATCAATGAGCCATGACAATATACATAAGAAATTTTTATTTTTCTGTTCTTTGTTTTGGGAAAATTAATACATGTTCACATAAGTGGGGTTAATCTAGCATCTAGCAGGCAATTTTTCTCCCATCTTTTAATTAAAATTTTCTAACCTTTTAATTAAGCATATAAAAAACAGAAGGATGCAGTCTATAGTTTGTTATATTTAGCTGTTATCCTGTGTGCATTTAGTCCTTATCCCAAGAATTTTTGGTGTATACAAAAGACAAAATAATTTACACAACAGAAGGTTGAAATTACATGTTTAGGGGCATTCCATATGACTTGCACTTCTTTGTGTTTTGAAGTCCCCTTTCTCTGTGAATCAGGAGACACCTTGGTAGGACCCATTACATGGACTTATCACTTTAGTAAAAATGTGTTCTTTCAAAACCCAATTTATAATCTGTTCAGGTACTTGTTAACCTCACTAAAAATCAGTGGACCAAATCTCATATATATTACCAGAATGCCACTTAAATCAAAGAGTTGCCTTAGGTAAGTAAGGAAGGCATTTTTCCAGTGGGGATGTTCATTCAAGTAATCCTGCAGGCTTACGTCTATCCTTGCTATCAGACACTCAGCAATGTCAAGTTAATTAATTTATTTCCTTTCAAGTGTTTTTTCCCCCATCAGTGAAAGAATTAGATGAAATGAGCAAGAAAAAAACTATTGCAAATCATTAACACATAAAGATAGGAAAAGTGTCATACCTTCTGTTGTGGCCTGCATTCTGCTGCCAGAGACTGAGGAAAAAACACCAGTTCACATTTGGGGCATACCATGTCATACCATGGGGCATGCCTCCAACTACAGTTCTTATTGAAGCTTTAGCATGTCAGGCACAGCAGCATTCAGTTATGGTGTGACTTCAGTAAGGTCACAATAGTCCATTGTTAGTCTCCATTTTCCATTCAACCTTCACACTGGCCATGTAGGATCGTTAAAAGGTGAGCAGGTCTTGCTGATGACTCCTTGGCCCTCCAGCCAACAAACTGGCCTATGGGTGGGGGTCATATTAGGTCAGATATTGCTGTCAGTGCACTGCTGTGGTAGAGAGTGGCACCTGTTGTTCTTTGACCTTCAGCAACTCCACAACACAAGGGTCCTCTGAGAGACTGGGCAAGGAAGACACCTGCCTAATTTCCTCGCAAGACAGAAAGCCCAACCTTTTGGGTCCTTGAAACACCCTCTTCTGAGTCTCTGCCAAGGATGTATGGAGTCTCTGGACCAGTCACTACAGGTAGCTTTTGCCACTCATTCCCAGTGAGGGTCACTTCAGCCTTCAATACAATTAGCTGTTGGGACACTCTAGTCATTCCAGAAATACAAATGGGTTTTGCTTCTCCATTGCTGGGCAGTATTAGGATACACTGTGCACCAGTGTGTCTAGTGTATCCACTAGACGCTTAAACTCCCATTGGCATGATGTACCAGGCCATCAAAATCACACAGTCCAGTAAACCTCCTTGTCCCCTTCCTCCACCTGGCTGGAGGCAGGGCCACTCTAGTCCTGATCATCATATTGGTTACTCACTTTTTTTATGTACAAAACAGAATTCTTTTTATTACAATCAGAGGTAGGATCAGATCTTCTACTCTGTTTGAGAAACTGCCTGCTTGAAACTAAAGCAGCAGTTTTCCTGAAGAACCCCATTTTGTGGTTGGCTTTCCTGTAAATCAAATACCCATGAGGGTGCTGAGGTAGATTTTTCACCCTACTTTCTCATGACTTCTCTGTGGTCACTCAGGTGAAGCCACAGGATGGTCTGTGGTGTGTAATTGCTATATCCTCTCTCTTGAGCAGCAGACATCTAACTCCTGATAGCTGAGATACTGGTCCATGCAGGTGTGGGCTAGAACATATCCTGTCTGAATTGCTGGAACTCTCGGAACATTTTCTCCACAGCTGAGACACAGCCCCACTGGGGGAAGAGAGAATTTCTTCATGTTGCTGGAGTTGGGCAGCCCATACATCCACTGTTTGTCTCCCTCCATCTTTCCAGGTCATTGCTGTCTATGATAACAGAGGTGGGCTCCATAGAAACTTCTACCACCTGGGTGACTGACATACACTTGATTTCATCTGGATCTTTAAATAATTCCTCATTGCTCATGAATCACCTCCAGCACTGCTAATCCCCTCAGGTACTGGATACTTTTCTCAATGGTGATCCATTTGCCTGAATGACATAACATCTTCCTTGAAGGAAGAATTTCCCTTACTGCCTAATAGAAGTCACATCCAGAGGCTGAGGTCTTGTGCCCTTTTTCCAATCTCTTTGCCAATGCTTTATCTAGGAAAGGATCCTAGCTGCTGCTTGGTTCTTCTACCCTCTAGTTGCAGGCCACTGGTCCTTCTACCCCAGCATTGGAGTAATCAGGTGACAATATGCTGGTCTGGATGAAGCTGAAATCTTTTCACATATCTCACAGCTCTCTCAGGGATAGGGATCAGGGGGTTACTGCCCTGTTTATTAGTTCTTTCAGTTCCTCCTCCTGTTCTCCTGATGGCACTTGGAGAATCCTGCCTTATCTTCTTCTTCCTCCTTCCCTTTTACGTAGGAGTTTCTTCCCTTATTAAACAAGCTCACTTTTGCATCCAGTATTTATTCTCATGTATGTTGGGGCAGCAGTTACCAGCATGGGTTGGTAACCTGGTTCAGCTTCCTACTTGCCAGAGTTGGAGCAGCTGCAGTGCCTGTTGCAGGGGGTTGAGTAGCCCCAGTCCCTATTGTGGTTGCTGCAGTGTCTGTCATTTTGTCATCACATCCAAAGACCTCTTTTTCCCCCTAAAGAGTATTGAGCAGGGCTCATGATCTTCCTGGGCCAGGCCCCAGCATGTGGCAGTGATTTTTTTCTCTCTGGAATTATCAGGGTCACAGCATATTTTTTTCCAAATATTTTACCAGTTTTTCTGGATTCTGCACTTTTTTAGGGGTGAAGTTCCAAAACACTAGAGGTGTCTGCTTGCCTAGATTCTTGGCCATGCTATCCCACACATCCTGTCACTCATAACTATCCACCCTTGGAATAGATCTCTGCATGGTATTCTTAAATATTTGTTTAACCTTAAACAAGACCTGAAATTTGTTCAGGAGACAGCAGTAGGAACACGCTTGTTTGAACATCCCAGGGATTCAAAATTTTCAAGAGCTATTGTAACTAGCCTGGAGGAGAAGGGGAAGGTGAAGTAGCAGGGGAGCGTTCCCTCTTGTCTCCCCCACAGACCAGCTCTCTGAGGAGAAGAGGTGGAGTGTAATTGTTAATAGTTTTTGAGACATGGCTCCCAAAGTACAGAGATGACAGCAGTGCTGAGTACAAATACCAGATTTGTCTCACGATCGCTAATTTTATGATATCATAAACCAGTGTTACACAGTACAGCAAAATGATAACCTTAATCCAGCCCCCAGGGATGATAAACAGCACAACAGGGAACATATACAGCAAGTAAGGTCTTACATAACATAACCCTGAGAACAAGTGAAAATTCTCTGAAAGCAGATAAATCAACAGTGTGATCAGCAACTATTAAACTAATATAATGAACCTGTAAAACACAAAAATTTTTAACACATCTCAGTCCAGATCTGTTATTTCAGCCCTTTGAACCTGATGCTGGGTACCAAAAAGGACAGCTGGTGTTTAACCCCAGCCAGCAGCCTAACACCACACAGCCATTCTCTCACCCCCCCTCTAGTGGGATGGGGGAGAGAGGGAGAGAAGAGGGAAAGAGGTCAATCTTGTGGGTTGAGATAAGGACAGACACTGTAAAGGGAAAGGAAAATAATATTAATGATAAAATAATATTAGGAGAGTGCTGACTGTGGTATGGAATATACCTTGTGTCCATTTGGGTCAGCTCTCCTGGATGTGTTCCCTCCCAGCTCCTTGTGCACCCTGCACCTCCTCAATGGCAGAGGAGCATGAAAAGCTGAAAAATCTTTGAATCAGAGTAAGCCCTGCTCACTAACAGCTAAAACATCAATGTGTTAACATTATTGTCATCCTAAATCCAAAACACACCACTGCATCAGCCACTAGGAACAAAAATAACTATCCTAGCCAAAACTAAAGTACTAGTTCTTTCTCTCCCTCTTTATTTCCAAGCTGACAGTTCTGAATCAGTGAGACTATCTAGTATCTCTAAAGTTTTAGACTGACTTAAACTTGATTCCCATGAAGGATTCAGAGGCCAAGGAGTCGAGCACCTAGGGAGATGTTGTGGTGAAAAGAAGTAAAGAAAGGCCAGCAGTAGAGGAGTGGAGGGAAGTAATCACAAAAATTAACTTCAGCCCTGGGGATACCTGACCTGCTTCTCTAAGCTTCTTTATAAAGAATGGAGGATAATTATGGAACAGACAAGTCAAAGCAGAAACCTAATTTTAGGCTGTCTGAAATTGCACTCCCAGGGGAACTTCACTCACCATCATAGAGCTCCAGTGTCCACATTTTAAAAAGGGATTTTTTAAAAGTATTGTTGAGCAGAGAGAAAATACAAAAATCATTTAAGAACTGGAGAAAATGTCTTTCTTCTAACTTGGTCTGTTTAACTTACCAGGAAAGAAGACTGGGATGTGAATAGATTAAGATGTATAAATGCTTTCATGAGTGAAAAACACTCATTTACAGAAGGGGGCTTTATACAAACAGAGGAATACATAACTAGAGCCAATTGTCTAGAAGCAGAAGGCAGAAAATTTAAATTAGAAAATAAGCATACATTTTTAGCTGTGGGATTGAATAGGTACTGGAACATACTACAGAGGAAAATGATACATTCTCACCATATTCAGATTTTCAAGTCAGGACTAGGCTGAAAGAAAAGTTTCAGTTAAACTAAGGGTCTCAATGCAGCATCACTGTCTGATACTTAATGGTCTGTGATATTCAGGAGATTAGATAGTCTCTCTCAACCTTAAACACCATGAAGCTTAATTCTATGAGTCTGTACCAGTTACCAGGGATATAGGCTTTTTATAATATAATACTCCCCAAATTCAACTCAACAGTTTGATAACTTCTGGCATCTTTCAACACCAACCAATCTCTGAAATATTTCTGGCCATAACATTACTTCTGTTGAGAACTGAAGAGTTAAATATAAGCTGAATGCAGCTGTTGAAATAACTGTTTATTAATAATGGGGCTGTTTACTATTCTTTTATAAAAGTTCTTAAAAACAACAAGGAGTCTGTTAATTTATGGCAAAAATTATCATATTTATGATAATATATATGATATTTAGCAGCTGTAATTTGCCTAGAAATCAAGCTATAGAGAGGGAAGCAGAGTATATTGTTGTGATTTGCAAATGTTCATTAATTGAACATCATTTTAATACTGTGAAGTAAATATTATTACTGAAATTTTTCAGAACTTTTCAATTGGCTTGTTCCAAGTTGTGTATATGTGTATGCATATATATGTATATATATATATATATGTGTGTATATATATATATATATATATGATAATTCATTTTTTTTTACAATACGATGAGGAAAAGCATATCAAAACCCATTTAAGAAGTCCTGACCCTCTTGATGTTATTTGCAGATTTGAAGGCAATAAACTTTAAACCAGCTTAATATCTCACCGTAAAATTAAATCAATCCCAAACACTGTGAATTGTTTTTCATTATTTTGGTATCTGACCTGAAAACCTGTGATTAAAGAAGTAAAATGATCACTTCAAATATATTTATTTTCTCCTTTTTCTGCACTATGTCTTGTTTGACAATCACTTTGAATTACTAGGTTAGAAAATTCCTCGCTCTCTGCTCACTTTATAGTATTTATAATATATTTCCCATGAGGGTAAAGTGAACTGAATTCTGCTAACAGAAACACTTGAAAATCCATAAGAAAAATGTCCAGGGAGAATGATATTGGGCCTTAATACAGATTAATACAGATGTTTACAGATAATACAGATTAATACAGATACAGATTATTTAATACAGATTATTTCAGATGTTACCTTTAGCTATGTAATCCAATGCTTAGATTTTCCTTGTACTTAAAAAAAGAAGCCCAACATTAAGAGAAACCTTATGAATTAAAAATGTTTAATATTAAATGAGAAGTACCTAAACGACTTGGGGTGAAAAATATAAATTCTATTACTCGTAACACTCTGTTCAACAGAAACTCATACAGGGATGGTTCCCCATCCCCATTGGTTCTCCCCAGTTAATTGACATACTCTATTAGTTTTGGAGCTGCTTTAAGGGATTTCAAACACAATAATTTCGACTAGGTTTAACTTGAGCTACTGGGGGAAGACAAAGACCACTGAATGTAATGCTGAGTTTTAAGGCAAACTTTTTCTACCATGTGGCTGCACTCCCTCTGCCCACATACACTCTCACACTGCTCATACATCAGCATGGCTTTTCCCTACCTTCACATCCAAGAGGAGAAATGGACAGGAAGCCATCACAAAACCATGATCTTAACCTCTTCACTACTCCAGCCCTCAATTTCTCAAACAAAACAACAAAATTCCTCCCCTTAGCCAGGATCCCACCTTTACCTCAGAGTAAAAACTGCAGTAGCTGAGAGGTTTCATTACTTGAGTAGACAGGCCACAAAGCTTTCCTCCCTCTAGCCCTGGTGCCTCTAAGCAGGAATTATTACCTCATCATTTCTAACTGACTTCCTCCATGCCTTTTCACTCAATAGCTATACAGATTTACCAGGGCTCAGCAGTCTGCAGCAGTTTTCAGCTCAGCTACTTGCAACCCATTTGAATTTTTGCTTTCCAAAGAAATGGCTCTATGCAGAAAAGTGACATATGTCACCTGGAAAGCATTGACCTTGCCTTGCTTTCCTGGCAAGGTCATTGCAGTATATTTGTATATTTGTGTGCTGAGGGGTAGAAAGGGATATGGACAGGCTGGATTGATAGGCCAAGACCAATTGTTTAACATTCAGTAAGGGCAAGTGGTGTGACCCTTGGGTCATAACAATCCCATGCAGAGCTACAGGCTGGGGGCAGAATGGCTAGAAAGCTGCCTGTTGGAAAAGGACCTGGGGGTGCTGGTTGACAGCAGCCAAACATGAGCCAGTGTGTGCCCAGGTGACCAAGAAGGGCAATGCCATCCTGGCCTGGATCAGCAATAGTGTGGTCAGCAGGACAATGAAGTGACTGTCCCCTGTATTGGTCACTGGTGAGGCTGCACCTCAAATCCTGTGTCAAGTTCTGGCCCCCTCATGACACAAAAGACACTGAGGGGCTGCAGCATCTCCAAAGAAGGGCAATGTGCACTCTGCACAAGACGGCTTCTGATCACCACATCACCCACTGGTCCTCCTCTGTTCACAAACAGCAGGTTCTGAGGGGCACCTTCCCTTGGCTCACTCACCAGCTACGTCAGGAAGTTCTCTTCCACATGTTCCAGAAACTTCCTGGACTGTTTTTTCTCTGCTGTGATGTATTTCCAGAAGATATTTGAGAAGTTTAAGTCCTCCTTAAGAACAAGTGCCAGAGATTGTGAGACTTCTCCCAGCTACTGAAAGAATATTATAGACTATTTTGTCAGCTGCTATTATAGAATATTTGGTCAGTTGCTTAAGCAAAAACAAAATACTTGAAAAATGCCTGTGTTAATGCAAACACGCAGAGAGGAAATTACACATAATAGATACACATCCATAGAGTCAAACATCTTCACATTTCTCTATTATGAGCCATACTAAAGTACTGTCCTCAAACCATGTTTTCCTAAAACAAACCTCAGTGTTGGTTTTGTGAGCTGGAGAGCAGACTTACTGATTTTTAGCAGCACAAACCATGTTAGGTTACAGGTCATCTAAACAAATTGCTTTTGACTTTTGAAATGTGCAGACTGCCTTTGCTGAAGGACCTGTTGGCATGAGAAGGCATTTTTGAGATGCATTAAACATGCTAGTTATACAAAAGAGCGTGATGAAATTGTTGCATTCGTACATGAAGGCACAGAGGTGAATATGAATATCATTCTCCAGAACGATCAGTTAGGATTTTGCATACAAAATTTGACCCAGAACATAAAGATCAACTTATTTTCCATTTCAAAATAGCAAGCTTTATTAATATATCATCAACAATCCAAATATATTATAACTAGCACCCTTAAAAACAATCTGGACTTTTCATGTGAATTTTACAGGATGGTTTAGATACACAAAAATTTTAAAATTCCTTTTCCTTTCACTGTCAAATGGTATTCTCAAATGGCAATAATTAACACATTAACACATTGCTTCATCCTGGAGCAATGGTAGATCTGGTGGTAGTAGATCTGATGATACATTGTCTGTCAATAACTTTCTGTCAAACTCTTTAGGCGAGCATCATTTTCATGAAACCATCAAGAAGGGATGCACCTGCTGTTTCAGGAACGCACAGCCATGACACAGTTGTGCTGGAAACACAGCTTTGGACTGTGCCATTTGGTGGGACAATGACCAAGCCACAGTGCAGCTCAGGGAAATCCATGAAGCAGAAGAGGAAGGTCATTGAAACAGCTTTTCTCCAGTTAACCATAACTGCGTAAACTTACCATTCCAGTCAACCTGTGCTCATGCTACCAAAAGACACAATGCCTGAAATACAATTTTCAAGCTATGAGTTTGTAGACTTTAGTAGCACAACTAACAACAAACTAGATACCTCTTCATCACAGACCAGCTCCTTATGCTAAGAGCAATGGGATGTTTCTTTATTCATGCCCATGCTACATTTCAAAGCACTTTATCAAATTATGTTGATCAGCACATGGCTATGTTCCTGCAGAAACTGCTTCAATGTGAGGATATTTGCCCTTGTATCTGAATGTCATCAAGGATATTCCCCAGGAATGTTAGTATGGCTATTGCTCCTTCACATCCTCCTTCTACCCTCACTTCTGGTTATTGCCTTGAAGCAATCAGGCAACTACTTGTGGAGGAATACATCTGAAGTTTCCTTAACACTACAAAAGGTTAGGTTATACAACAATGAAGAGAAACAGATGTCATTTTTTTATGAAAACAGATTTCCAGATGGTTCAAGATCACCACATTGTGCAAAGCTTAAACAACTGCTTGTTTTTATTGTAATTACCCTCCAGTTCTCTTCTGCCATCACCCTCTAGTGTGTGCTATACTTCCTTACTTCAGTTTGTGTTCCAGGGTTTTATGTTATTTGAGACATGAGATATTATCTGCTAATAAAGTTTCTAGAAACATCTGGAGCAAAAATGGTGAAACAGAAATTGTAATAATAGATCATAATAAAACCACCCCCATTATCAGAAATGTGAAAGCCCAACCAATGAGGTAGTATAACACCTATTAGTTTTGAAATTGCTTAGGAATGAGGTAGCTATGCTTTTAACAAAAATATGTACTTTCTCATAAATATCTTACCCCAATAGCAGGAAAATGTCAAGTTAATGCCTTGGTCACAGCCTGTTGTTCACACAGCATGTTTCCACACAGCAACAGCTTCTGAGTCCCCAGAAGGAATTTTCTTCTGCCTCCATCTGATAATGAAACACTCTACACACAACACATTATTCTCCCTCACAGAACAGCACAAAACCTTACCTACGACCTCAGGAAAATAGCAAGTACTCAGCCCTGAAATGTTTGCCAAGATTAGCTGTGCAGTGTTATACTCTAGCACTTGTTACAGTACAAGTCTCTGACAGACTCTTGGCACAGTAGTGTAAAGAGGACCTGCATGTAGTTAGTGTCCATGGAAGATATAAGGCCTCAGCACCTTGGTAAGTGTGGATCCAAAAGAAAACTCAGTGTAGCAGTTTCTCCATCAGGTATAAAACACCCATAACTCAATCAGGTTCCCACTGTCCTAAGAAAAGCCTGAACCTGGGCAACCCATGTACCTCTGTGATTCTTGTTGCATGGAATGTTGGGAACCCTTTAGAAAGCCTGATTTCATCAACAGTGACTGCATAGGGACTGACCAGACAAATGGTACTACACTTGATTGCCCCAACCTGTCGCTCCGATTGGGAACGGCGATAAAGAACGACACTGGACTCTCAAGGGAGTCACAACACGAGAATTCCTTAGTTTATTGCTTCAGGCTTATCTTATAGACAGATACGTGGAAAGTACAGAAAGGAAACTCTTATTGGTTAACAAAGTGCTACATCACCATCATTGGTCAGTGGCACACAACCCCTCTGACTCCCTCCTGCAAGGGAAAGCAAGAGACTGCAAAACAACACCTGCAAGGCTGTTTAGTGTCCCTGAGAATTGTTTTAATTCCTTCTCATATTTTTCCCAGGATACTTTCTCAGGCAGCCTGAGGAGCCATGTGGCCTGCAATTTGTACAGGCACTGTGGTTCAGATTTAGCATCCATACCAACCATCTCTGATAAGGTGGTCATTTTGCACAGGATACGCAAGACTTCATCATGCCTATTCCTGCATATTATCATGGATGCAATACAAATTCAAGACTGAATGTGACATGCGTTCATGCTTAAGATGTTCTGTCGATCCCCCTGATCCTGTCTGTTGTGCTATTACAGCTACAGGCTGCTCGTCAGAGTAGTACCACCAAAGCACGCACTGGCACATTTAGAAGCTATTAACTTGTCATGGGGTGACTTCACCTTTAAGATAGCTTTGGGAGCTAAGGAAGTTGAAGCTGCTGGAGGCTGATGGGCATATTTAAAACCACGATATAACTATGTCCATTGAAAACTCATTCTGGTATTCCTGTGCCTTGGTGAGGTATACACTGTAAAAGCATGCAACAATGAGTATTGCCAGCCCTGTTAATATTTTACCTAGGTAAAAATTATCCTGAAGATGTTATTTTCAGTGCTGAAATCTTTAAGTTATTATTCAAGATATGGTACAAATACAGTTATTGTTTATTCTCCTACTACAGTTTTGAGTGGTGAAATAAAAGGTTATCATTCAGATGAGCTACTCTGAAACTGTGAGACAGCAACCAATTATAGATGCCTCAGACAGATGGGATTCTGCTCCTAATATGCAGGATCCAAATTATATCACATAGACACTGCCACAAGGAACAAATAAGGAGCTGAAAAGAATAAGGACTTTGTTTAACAGATGCATTTAAGTCATTCTGGGCTTACACTTGAGTAATGTTGGCCTGGTTTTTTAAAACAAGCATATGCTTGCTCATTAGTGGCATTGGAGCACCCCTCAGTGGGAGCAGAATGTTAACTTATCCCCACGTAATTGGATGGCCTAGAGATAAGAAGTGTGTGAAAGTGTGACTGCACTTTCCAGGCAATGCATGACCAATTCAGCAAATTCATCATTCAGGTCATTGTGAACAGAAATGTGAGAGATTATAAGCAGTACATGCCATCTTTGGCTCTGGAGGGTACTACTTCATACAAAGATTTAAAATTTCTTCTTTTCACCCATTAATCGTAGTTTTTCCTGAGGGTTTAAAAGAAGCATCAATGAACATGAAAGGTTTCCCTCAGACCTTGTCAAACCAGAGACCAAAATGGGACTCACCTGTCACATGCTGGATATTCTCAGAATTCCTTAATTTTCATTCCGCTGTGTCCCACTTTGGCCTTTTGGAAAATATACTTGTTAAGAAGTTGTGCCCTCCTTTTTGATATATGGGCTTTGTATTTCTACAGAACACTTTGTATATTAAGTGTTTGAGGTAGCTGAATCACTCTCAGCCTACACTGTACATTTTCAAAGGGACTATAACCACAGAGAAAGGAAATTACAGCTTTAGCTTTATTGGAAGAGCTGTACCTGGCTCAAGTTATTTAGCCAAGTAAATAAATGAATGAGTGTGCAAACAACTAGAAATGACATTTCAGCTACTTTTGCTAGCCTGAAAGCCATTAATCTTGTAATTAAAGGGTCTGAGATTTGAAATCTTATTACAGTATTTCTGTCAATGAAATATTTCCACAATAACTCTGGGCCTGGAACTCAGACAGGTAAAAACCATCTTCATCATTTTCTCTACAGCCAAAGATTCAAGCTGGGACCAGCGTACCCCCAAGCACTCATCACAAGTAATTACCCTGCAGAGGGAACACAGCCAGAGAAATGTTACAGCATTTCTATTATTACTTTTTTTGGATTAAGTAATAAATATTTAAGAGACTAAAGCTAGCTCACATGAAATGACAAATGAGCATACGCCAAATCCCCACCTACTTGACTGTGCACCTTAAGATCTCTTCTACTTGAGATAAACAGCAAAAATAATTCCCTTCCCCACCATTGTGGGCTCTTATTTTCCTTAAAAAACTAGAATCTCCTTCAAAGCTAAAATCTACTGTGGTATTAGTTACCTTTATAAAAGTTTCTAGTCTGTTTCCAGAATGAGGTTAAAACAACTTCAGACAGCACAATAAAGGACGATTTCCTTTGTAGAGCTACGGGTGTTTCTCAATCTTTTTCACTTTGCAAATCCCCAGGCCTGTCTGAGGGAGATGCAGGTCTTTGTACAACAAAGTTAACCTTCCTGACCGCAGGAGCACATTTTCTACATGCTGTTGCACAGCATTTCAATGTAATTCAGAATCCCAAATATTCACAGACCCTGGAGTGAAAAGCAACAAAACTGTTCTTCTTCCATTGCCATGTCATGCTTTGTCTGATTTACTACTCACGCAGCTGGTAATACTTTCTCATAACTATTTTTTGTTCCAGGAAATTTGCAAATATAGATAATAAAGAAACAATAATGAACTGTGAGGAATTTATAAAAAATATAATTTTATATCAAAGAAATTAATTTTTAAATGACCCCACTATTTGATCTTTCACTACATTTTTCCTAAATGGAGATGAACAACATCAAGCTTAAATCAACAGGTATAGTACGGATTTTGAGAAATATTTAGACTTCTTCAAAGATACTTCTAGTCATTCTAGTATTTCTCAGTATTTGATAAACTATCAAAATTCTGAAAAAAAAAATAATAGTGATTTTGAAAATTAGCTGGTTACAGATTATAGTCTCAATTTCATTTTTATACACATTTTTTTTTTAAAGTTTATTTGAATTTGGTAATAATAAAAAAATCTTCAAAATCCCAAACATTTTTCACAAGTTGATGTGGATCAATACACTTTTTTATTAGGAGTTTTAAATATATTGACAGAATTATTAGTCACTTGAGAAAATAAGTTCCACAGCTGTTAAAGGTCTTTTTTATTTGTCTATTTATTATGTAGCATCGGCAATCAACATATTTGGTGTATCTGAACTTCTTCAAGTCATGGACACAGGAATGAAAAAAAACTGTGTTGTATTGCCAATATTTCTAAAATGTGAAGACCTCAAACAATTCCCTGAATGCAGTTCAGCCCTACCTGAACTATGACAAATAAAATCCTTTGTGAATCAGAGGGGCGTGTGCCATTGCTCCAAACGTCTGCTTTTATTTTTGCAGCTTCTGCTTCTTTAAAAGCTCGTGTCACATAATCTTCTTCAACTTTAAACCACAGTTATTCCCTCTTTTTGTCATTCATCTACAACCAAAGAAAACTTTCAGAGACATAAAAAAATAAAAACTAAAAATAAGACATTGACAAAGTGTCTTCTCATCTGTTTGCTACTAACATCGCTTTGGTCTAGAAGATTCTGGAGT